CTCTATATAACTCTATATAACTCTATATAACTCTATATAACTCTATATAACTCTATATAACTCTATATAACTCTATATAACTCTATATAACTCTATATAACTCTATATAACTCTATATAACTCTATATAACTCTATATAACTCTATATAACTCTATATAACTCTATATAACTCTATATAACTCTATATAACTCTATATAACTCTATATAACTCTATATAACTCTATATAACTCTATATAACTCTATATAACTCTATATAACTCTATATAACTCTATATAACTCTATATAACTCTATATAACTCTATATAACTCTATATAACCAAGCATACTACCACATTCAATCAATAATAATCCCACTAAAACCAGGAACCATCGCGTACCTGTTATATGTATGGTGTGAAACAAAACAAAAAAAAAAAAACAAAAAACACACCACCAAGTAGAGTAAAAGAATAGAAGTCCCTAACCTACCTATGTAACTAAATTACCTTATGCCCTAGCCTACCTATATAATAAATTAATCTCAATCTCACCTACCTACGTTTCATTAACTTAACTCAAAACTCATGAAGAAAGAGAAAAAAGGAGTAAAAAAGAACATAAAATACTACCACACAAACAAACATGATGTATGTATGTATGTATGAGCAACCGCTAAAGAACCCACCTAAAATATAAAAAAATACAACCTACAAACACACAAACCACAGACATGCAAACTCTATATAACTCTATATAACTCTATATAACTCTATATAACTCTATTATAACTCTATATAACTCTATATAACTCTATATAACTCTATATAACTCTATATAACTCTATATAACTCTATATAACTCTATATAACTCTATATAACTCTATATAACTCTATATAATTCTATATAACTCTATATAAATAAAATTAAATAAAAATAAATAAATTAAAAAAATATAAATATAAAAAAATGAGATCAGGCACTCCGACTCGAGCGAGGCAGAAATGCCTGATCTGATTTCAACGCTTTTTCAGCTCCTATTTATACTCGTTTTAACCATACATTTTCATCATTTCAATCATTCACATCAATAAAAAACTTATTTCATGTATGTACTCCACTATTATACAGTCTTAACCACAATGGTAACCGTATTAAATTGAAGTCATCGAACGAACGCCTTCGAAACTTTCTGATTGGCTGGTTAAATCTGCTATATTGCTTTTTATATAAGCATATAATTTTGTTAATTATTTGTATACATGGATTTTAGTTAATTTATATATATATATATATATATATATATATATAGATAAATATATATATATATATATATATATATAGATAAATATATATTTATTTATATTACATATAAATTCATTATAAAAGCAACAGTAATCAGTGCTATACGCACACAGTTCAAATTTTTTGGCGAGAATTCAAGATAGTTTGGGACCACACCTTGCTTAACATCACTTGTATAATTTAAATATTTATATACGGCTTCACTCGGCCTGACGCTCAAGCCGAGCCAAGCAGATAAATTCCAAGCCGAGCCGGGCAGATAAATTCCAAGCCGAGCCAATCCAATCTGAGCCAATATGATTAGATTTATAATCTTATTAATTATTTGTATACATGGATTTTAGTCACTTTATATATATATATATATATATATATATATTTATATATATAGGGAAATATTGACTTTGTCAAGATTAACTTTGACGTTGTAAAAATTAACTTTGGTATATATATATATATATATATATATATATATATATATATATATATATATATATATATATATATATATATATATATATATATATATATATGTATATACATATATATATATATATATATATAATATAAATTCATTATAAAGGTAACAGTAATCAGTGCTAAATATATACGCACGCAGTTCAAATTTTTCGGGGAGAATTCAAAATAGTTTGAGACCACACCTTGCTTAACGTCCAATTCCAAGCCGAGCCAAGCCAAGCTAAGCCAATATTCATAGATTTATAAGCGCTTTATAATAAAATTTTGCTCGCTTCATATAAGAATATCCCAATATAACAAATTCTCTAACATATTTTAAAAATTTTCTTTGATGCTTTTTAATCAGTCAGGTCACAAAAATCATTATCGATATCGCGATGAAAACAAATTGAAAATTTTTTAAAAATTGTTGATAAAATTAACTAGTATTTAGTAAAAAGTTTCAATTTTTCTAAGAAAATTCAAAATAATTTGAGACTACACCATAGCACAATTGTACATTTTGAATTTGTAAATACAACATTATAAATGTATTATAAATACGTATCTATCTATCTATCTATCTTTTCTTTATTTAGTTCTACCTGCGAATGATATTTGGTCAAATTTATTTGATAGGAATTGAATATAACCTTTGTACTGGCTGATTAACTACCATGCAGTAGAATAACCACTGTTAACATGACGTCATTTCCTCCAACAATTTCGCAACGAACTACCCATCCTTTTTATTAAATTTTATGTGACGTTTTTTAATTTGTCAGGTCACAATCATCATCATCGATATCGCAATGAAATCAAATTGAGAATTTTTTAAATTTTTGAAAAAAATATTTTTATTCATTTTATGATACTACTTTGATCAATAAGATACTGTTTGATACATATAACTAGAATAAATATAACGGTCTTTGCTCACTTTCAAGTAGAAAAGTGAATTTAAGTTAAAGTGAACAATCAATTTTTAACCGGTTATTTAGCGATTATCGTCTTAGTTGCTTTTTGTCGTCAATTTATTGACATTTAATTAAAAAATTTGTTAAAAGATACACAATAAATTACGATAGTAAGACGTTTGATTGCCGGCAAAGTAAGAGATTCGTACTCATAACAAAAAAACGCTCCAAATTATGTTCTGTTTATTCCAGAGAACTAGAAAAAATTATTAGACAGGTAATAATTTTTATGCCACAACCATTATATCGATGTGTTAAAATTTTAATTTTTTAAAAATTGTTATTCAATGTGGTAATTAATTATTTTCATTTGGTATAAATTTAAAAAAATCGACATTACCGAAAATAATTAAAAGTTGAAAAAATTGAGGTTTTTTGCATATTCTTACTTCAATCCATATGAATAGGTTGTATTTTGGTAAATAGGCCTTCCATGTAATTAACAGTTTTAAAAATAATTCACTTTTAGACATATTTACGCTTTAACCTACTCCCACGTTAACTTATCGTCTCAAATTTTGTTTGCATGAGGCGCCAATGTAAAGTTTTGTAAAATGGTTCCGAAGATTTTCAGTGTTGTTTCTAAAAAAAATGTCCTGACAGCCATAATCCTGATTATATTCCTGTTTGCTTCAGTTCAGTACATGATCTACAGGATCCTCAATGTGGAACAGCTCAAAAGTCAGTCAGTTTTATTTAATTTTAAATTTTAAAACTTTAAAATTTTAATTTTGTTAGTGAAATTAATTTTGTTTTAAATCAAGTAAATTTCATATGTTCAGCCTTGTTCTGTGGATCTATAATTTTAAGAAAAATAATTTATGTTACTTTGTAAGTTAATTTTTAAATTTTAAAATATGTAAAATAAAATGACATTAAATATTAATCTGATTTCCATTTCTTTGCAGTTATGAACAAAAAATTAAGCGATTATTATATTGATGGGGAGAATCTTGATGAAGACTCGACTGTAGCATTTCAACTTGAGAAGAATTCAAATTACAACAGCCTTAACAATAACAACAATATTAATAAGAAAAATAATAAAATCAATTACCCTTCAAAGAATGAAAATAAATTTGACGATAAAATGTTCTTAAATAATATTTCCTATGCCAATCATAAAAGAAGTGAAAAACTTAGAAAAAATATTTTGAATAATAAAAGTGATATTAATAACAATAATAAAAATCAGGTTATTAATCAAAAAGATTCCAAATCAGAATTCATTTTTAACCAACAAAACAACTTTAACACGGACTGGAAATCTATTGAAAAAACTCTGCTCAAAAATTATAAATCATTGTTAAAAGATCCTACAAAGAGCCAAGATAACATGAGCATAGAGTTTGATGTCTACAGACTTCTCTTAAAATATTACATTGTCAATGCCAGCAGGGAATTGTTCACGTGCATTCAATCTAAAGTGTTGATATAAGTTCACTGTTTTCAAATTTTATTTTCAAAATTTTTAAAAATTATTTTGACTAGTTGAAATGTTTTCAAAATAATAATAATGATAGATATCAATAATATATTTTTATTTTTAAAAATTTCAAATCTAGGAATTGATAAGCACGGACCTGCTGAACGATGAGTACTGCGATTGTGAAGATGGCACAGATGAATTGTTGACATCAGCTTGCTCCAATACTAGGTAGGTGGAGACTTCTTTTTATTGATTCATTTTTATTATGTTTGTTTATTTATTTGTTGGCTCGTATGTGTTTTATTTTTTTTCATTCTTTCATCATTCAATCAGTCCTTGATTTATTGATTTTTTGATTTATTTAATTCATTGCAGGTTCTATTGCTCTCATCAACCAGTCTTTAACTATGGTTATTTGAAAAGAAACAGCAACAACAATAATAATAACAATAATAATAATAATGATGATGATGATAAGTTGTTATGGGTTTATTCAAGTAGAGTTAATGATGGAGTTTGTGACTGCTGTGACGGCTCTGATGAATTTATCAGTAAATCATTGTCATCAGTACCATGCTCAAACACGTGTGATGGACTGAAAAAACGCGTGGATGAATACCGAGAAATAATGATGGAGGGAAGGAGAATTAAAGAGAAATGGATGAATGAAGTTAAAAATGGGCATAGGCATATTTTGAATGACAATGTCTGTCTGTTATTGTTCTTTAATTTTTTTCTATAATTTTATCACAATTTCATTTATATTTATCTATTTATGTCATATTTATTTATTTATTTCATGTTTTTATTTTATTTTATTTTCCATAATTTCTTATCTCCATAATTTAGAAGTTTTACTAATTTCATACTTTCTTAATTTATAATTCTCACTAATTACGTCTCTTCCAAACTCAATTTTTCTTTAGTTTCATTTCATAGACATAAATGAAAATAGGTTTTTTCAATTATTTTCTTTTTTCTGTACTTGATAACTTTCCTTTGTAGCATTCACTCATATGTCCTACGTTGTTTGGTTTAAAACTTCCACAAACCTCACAAAAATTCAGTAATTTCAAGCTCTCCTAATTTAAAATGTTTATAATGTCATTTCTCTACCCGATTCACGTATCCTTAATTTATAAATTTCACTAATTTGATGCTTCTTCATCTTCAGATTGTCTCAAATTTTCAAACTCCTCCATTTAAAGTTCCCATTTAAAACGTTTGACGCAAGTTAACAGTTTCACGTATAATGATTGAGAATTCAAATCAACTACGTCATCCAACTCAGCAGTCAATCTAACTAATTAAACACCTACATGAAGGACTTATGTTTCTGAACTTATTTATTCAATATTCAGTTTAATTAATTTAATAACGGTTTTTTCGATGAAAATGTTTAAAAAAAGTGAAAATGTGCTAGGCGAGATGGGATCTCGCACAAGATTTCATTCCCTTGTCGCCTTGTCACAAATTTTTCAACTACCTCAACTCACCTCAAAGCGTGACCTCCTTTGTGGACATTTCCTAATTTTTTGATTTTCACTAGTCTCATATACGTCCAATCTGTAGTTCCTCCTTTACTTGTTCCACGCATGCCTGATTAGTCAGTTTTTTAAAATTACAATTCTGACTAGTTTCATATTCTCCCCAATTCAGTTGTACGGATCGAATGGGGAGTTTTACAAATTGAAAAAAGATGAATGCCCTCAAATAAGGAAGATGTCGTACGTTTATAGTATTTGCGTCTTTGGCCCTATTCAGCAGAGGAGTATCAAAGGCGCTGGTACTGTTTATATAGGTAGGTGTTGTTTTCTCCTCTGTGCATAGTAATTTGGATTGATTTTGTATGATTGATTGATTCCACATCAATTTTTGTTATTCATTCATTCATTCATTCAGGTCGCTATGCAAGCTGGTTGACATATAAGGGTAAAATAATGAAGGAGAGAATAAAACATGGCGGTGATGATGATGATGACGTCATGAAATGGGTGAAAAGAGATGGTGGTGGTGACGATGATGAGTACGTGATGATGGTGGGGGGCGGCGATAACCAGGGATGTCCAAATAGAAGGCAGAGGAAAGCCATTGTGAGTAATATAATGATGATGGCAACGATGATTAACATTCATGTCTCATTACTTACACTTACATCATCATAGTCTTATCACAATCACTACTACCTCCAGATAAAATTCCAATGTCACGTGACAGACGCGGTGGTTTCACTGGAAGAGGATGAGGTCTGCACTTACGTCATCATCTACAACACGCCTGCTGCCTGTTCGTGACGTCATTTTGCCATTTTTTTTACTAGAGATGTGCGGCGTGCCCCAGATGTGCATAATCCCTTCTTATTTAAATTTTTTGTTGCTCTTACATATCTTTCTTCGATTTACGACCGGTTGTAAATCTTTTGTATCTTTTGATTATAAGCCCTCTTTCCACTCGGTGTCTCAAACAGTTCTTCCGTCGTCCCATTGATTGTTTTATACGTACTGTCACCAGATATAAAATACTCGACACATGCCAACCCCCTTATCAGATTACAAACTCATTCGTCTTCGCCCATCTGCTGATCATCGCCATCACCTTCGTCTACCCTCATCATGGCCACTTCTTCAACCAACCAGTCAACAAACCAGCTCTCACCAACAAAGGCTTCTCATATTGCTCACCATCAATATTATTATCATTAATATTTAATCATCCTTTGAACTGCATATATAAGATTTGTAGCAAATAACTTATTGCCATGTAAATAAACGAACGAAAAACGCTGTTTTACAATGCATATTTCAATGAAAGTTTAAAGAGGTGACCTATTCATCTTTCGTAGACATAAAACCAACAATATTTACATTATAATTTATTTTAAACATGTGTCAAATGGTGCTAACACACATACACAAACATACATATATGTGTGAGAAAGGGGTAGAGAGAGAGAGAGAGAAAGACAATGACATTCATAAAGTGCATTGATGGTAATAAATTAATACTGATGAAGCGATTGTAGCAGTAAACAAGAAGATAACTTATGTTATAAATGATGAGAAAATGAAACAATTATAATGGATTGATGTGTCTATATATATATATATATATTGTGTGTATATATATATGTTTATTCTATTATTGACAGTCTTAATCCAATATATATATATATATAATTATTGGTGAAAATCAGACATATATATATATATATATAGAGAGAGAGAGAGATACAGAATTTTTCCTTGGAATTCAAGAATGATGTTAACTTCTGGAAGGCTACATTACAATACATTTCAAGACATCTTTATTGATGTAAGCTTTTTGCTGGCCTGAAAAATATTAGTGTTATTATTTACTATTGTTAATGTTATAATTATTATAATTATTGTTACGACTGTGATTTAAGAGCGTCCTACCTCGGGGAACCGGGTCTCTGGACGCAAAACGAAGATTGATTGATTGATTAAGACTGTCATTGAAATTTTAACCATCATCATCCTCTTATCATTTGATCATCACAATTATCAAAAACCACGTCAAAATATTCAATCAATGTAACTGTATACATCGCCGTAATTTCTCCTCCACCATCATTACCATTACAACCATCATCATCGTCATGTTTTCCCACCCCTCACTAACCATCCACATCTCTTCACTTTCAAACAGACCCATGACCCTGGCGACCTGGTACTGCCGATCACTGAAAGATTCAGGTCCCTTGATAAATAATTTTAAACACTTTTCGGCGTCGCTTGCATTTGAACCACCTCCCTCTCGCCTCATTACTTTAAATACTTGATCTAATTTATACTTGGGCAAGCCTGGGTCTAATATTAGTAAGTTGTAATCTTCGCATTTGAAATTGCTACTACCGCTGCTACTATTTTTGCTAGTTGCTGCGGTATTAGAAGTAGCTGCAGCAGTAGCTGCAGCAGTTGTAGTAGTGGCTGCGTTTACGCCGTTTTGGAAGAAGCCGTCGATTTTTTTGTTGCCTTTGTTGCTGCAGTCGACTTTTTTGATGCAGCCAATCACAAGCCTGCTATGTCCTGAAATTATGAATGAAGGTAATTATTATTATTATTATATATTAGTAATTTATTATAACAATGATAATAATATATTATTATTGTCCTATCGTTAAATTCAATGTAAAATCCGTGATGATTTCGGTGTAGGAAGATAATAATAAAACAACATGAATAGTAGTATTAATAAGCGATGATGACCCTGGTGCTGGATGTATAACGGTGGTTTCATATTACAACAGCCATCATTCAGATCATTCTTATTTCTATTATTAGTGCTGTTGTAGTAGTAATCGTAAACTAGTTTGATCAAGTCTGGATGCTTGATCGATGATGGTGGGGGGACAGGTCTGGAGAAATCGTATAACTGACACCTATGCGAATGTATGGATGAATGAAAGAGTGAATGAATGAGAGAATGGAGGATGAAAGATTGAATTTTTAAATTACTTTTTTATAGGAATTAGAATTAATTTTTTGAATCGATAAATTTTGTGGAATGCGCCAATGCAGACGGGCACAAATACACAAAATACCTACCTAATCTTAAGAAAGGACAATAGAGCAACAATATCAGTGGCTCCGATCCATTTCCTCGTGCTCAGGACCGAATTACTCAGCTGCCGGCCACCTTCTTTGTCGAAACCTTCTCGCCAACTGGTCTCAAGTAACATTTGCAACCGATGGATTGATGGGATGATTGGTGTTCCTTTTTGCGTGTGTGTGTTTGTACGTGTCGTGTATGTGTGTGTGTTTGTATGTGTGTGTGTGTGAGGGAGAGAGAGAGTGAGAGAGAGAGATTTACGAGTGTATGCGTGTGTTTCCTCATATGTGTTGATTTTATTATAATATATATGTTCGTGTGTGTGTGACAGCGGTTGAATAAACAAGTCGCATGATAATTTTAAAGTCTGTGCTGTCATATCTTGCTAGTATTTACAGTACCTTCTAGCATCACAAATGACAATCACAATATAATTTATGAGATAATAATAATGATATAAACAAGGATACAAATATTAAGAAGCATGATACGGAAAGAAATGTGAAGTGAACCTTGGAAGATTACTTGCTGAAAGTGCTGGTTGTTCGCCAGGCACGATAGGATCATCTGTAAATTCCTGTAACCACAACCATATCCTGATAATGATTATAATGATAATAATTATAATAATCATAATTATGAATTCGTTATTATTTTTGGTATTAGGACCTTGGTCAGGCATTTGCTGTGTTGAGAAATGAGAAAGATCGGCACAGAGTTTTAATGAGGAAAATGATGATGATGGTGATTTTGCTGCAGCTGCTGATGATGAGGATGTCGACGACCATGATAAACCAAGGACTTGTAATATTTTGCTGATCACATCTGAAAAAAATTTAAAAATTTGAAAGCTAAATTAAAACTAATTTTTGTAAAATTACAAAAATCAAAGGTGAATGTTAAACTAATCTTTTCAGAAATAGCTAACTTTGAACATCAATCTAATTTGAACATTAAACTAACTTGGAGTGCAACTCTTGAGATCATCTTTAAACTTTTCAGGAATACTTTCATTATTTACACTGCTGGCTGATGTTAGGAAGTTAGGCAGTTGGACCCCCCAATGAAGTTGGTGTTGTCGATGATGTTGTTGTTTTCGTGGCCGATTATGCTGTTGGGGCAGATGTTGTTGTGATTGTTGCACTGCATCATCTTCGTCATCATTGATCATGTGGGTCGATGAATCAAAATGATTGTTGACGTGGACCTGTAATGAGAGTTCGTCTTCATCATTCCTCGGTTCGTAGCCACATATGGGGCAGTTGATTTTCAACAGTGGAGTGTTGTTGTTTTGTTGTTGCAGGAAATTCAAATGTTTATTTAATTGGTAATCTTGCAGTTGCTGCTCAACATCATTTTTCTTTTTAGATTCATCAGATCTCTGCTGCTTTGCTGGTCAAAATTACATTAAAATGTACAAGTATTAGTACAAAGTGAATAAATTCAAATTCAAACAACAATTTTACAATATATGAGATTTAATAAATTAAAATAATGGCACTAACAACGAGAAAAGTTGAATTCTGTCTAATTAGTATTAATGAATAATTAAATATACACATAACATGTACTGTATACCATTACAACTGATATAAAACAATTTTTTAATATATAATTTAATTAATTTTTTAGAATCACTTGATAATTTATTTGATTTTTTTTATTTTAATTTATGTTTTTTGATTTGGACCACTACAAGTCTTCTATTCAGACTTTTGGTCTTCAATTTATTCAGCAAATGTTCCAAAACAATAGATAACCAGATAAAATAAACCTTTCTGTTTATCAAAGTGATTTGTATCATTACTGCTATTTGAAATATTTCTCTTTCCTCCACGACTCTCTCTAGGAGTACAAAATTCTTCCACCCCAAAATCTAGACCATCACTGAAAGCTTCCCCACCGTAACAACAGTTGCCGACTTTCCCATCGTAATTATTATCCGGATGAACTCGGTCAATATGCCATTGCAGCTGCTCCACAGTTTTGCACACGTGGCTGCAAAAAACGCATTGCACGTCATCTAGATGGTTGATTGAAATGTGCACTGGCATGTCGCCGGATGAAATATTTTCTTGCCCACAGATGTCACACGTGTAAGTGAGTACCGGCTGGTCCATTTGTTTTTATTTCTCTTTTGTTTTGATTGTTTCAATGATTCAATTCAAATTCAATGTTTCGTTGAAAAAATTACGATTCCGTTAAGTTGAAAAATCAATATATAAAACTAAAAATTTTATTAACAGTCATGTGCGTCCGTCACAAATCAAAAAAATTGGATCTAAAAACGTCTATTTTAGAAAAATAATTAACGAAACTAAAAACGAAATTTTTTTAATTTGATGGTGAAAACGAAACTTAGAAAATTTTTCAGGATACTTCTAAAAGCCAGATGTTTGAATTGTAAAATCTGCTGAAAAAATCTACACGCACAAAACCAAAACCTACACTCAATGAAAATTCTCCAGCTTCAAATTTTATAAACCACGGCTATCTAATAATAAACACAACTTGTTTTTGACTGAAAATTGGAGAATTTAGAAAAAATGATTAGTGAAAAAAGTGGATGACAATTGTTACAACTACATGACTAAACAATGATGAAAAATGTTATAGTCAATTCATTTATTAATTCATTCAGTTTTTTTTATTTAATCTTGTTGTCTGGGAGGTATCTAGATCATCTAGAAATGTTTCTTGCTTCACAGAGAATATAGTGTAGATGTCTGTATGTTTGATCAAGACATTATAATGCAATTGTAGGATGGTTAAGAAAAACTTCAAACTGCAATGTGGCAAAGGTTTAAGACTTAGAGTTAAAATATATACCATGTGAACATTAGAAAGAATAAAAAAATTATTAATTATATAATAAAATATAATAAAATATTTTATTATAGCTTATAATAATTTTGTAATACTGGTTTTGCTATTCTTTTTATTTCATTCAACTGTATAAAAACTGTCTAAACTAATTTTAATTAACTATTTTTTTACATTCAAAGTTTGATAATAAGAACACTTCCACGACATACACCATAGCTTCAAACTTTCAAATTCAAAGTTATCGGATAAATATATTATTTCCAACTTTACTATTGAAGACTCTAAAAGTTAACTGGTAATAATAAATATTTGGTAAAAAATTAAAAACTTTGCTCATTCATTATTCATTATGAAATCAATCCTTTCCTCTCTTTATTTAAAAAAAAACTAAAAATAAAAATGCAAGGATACAAATTCCAAGAACTCCTGAGCTGACAAGGGCGGCCGTCAACTTATTCCTACTTTTTAAAGACCTCGAGGCAGTGGCTCTGACGGAATTCAAACCCTCCAAACGCTTGATGTAATGCTGATCGATGGAATTTAACTTGGAAAATTCTTTGGACATATCTACTTTCGGCATTTGTTCTCCTCCTTCGGACATTTTGAGATCTGTTAGACCTAATTTTGTAAAAAAAATATTTAATGTTGTAAAATTTATTTAAGAAAGTTGATAAAATCGTACTTTTTAACAGAAATTTAACCAAATTCACCGTTAAGGTAAAAGTTATTCACGCCAAGTTTATTTGACCTATAGTTCACTTTTCACCTAATAATTTTTCTTGAAAAGTTAATTTAAGTTGAAAGCTTTTAATCTGAGACAAATTTCCTTCAAAATTGTTGTTTGTATAAACGTCGTAAGCCAAACTTTATCAATTTCACTTGTTAATAAATGCTTTTATGCAACCAAATTACAGAAAATGGTAAAATATGATTGGCGTAAAAAATTCTATTTTGAAACTTATTTCTTCAACTAAATTACCATTTAACAATGCAAATTTATTGAATTATTTTCAAAATACAAAAAAATTACTTTGTTCCACGGTATTAAAATTATGGATGTAAGTTTCATGGATATATATCCATGATTGAACCATCAACCTTAGCAATAAAAATATTTACTAAATTATCCAAACGCTCAACCCGTTAAGTTGTAGCAAAAACCGTGACACCCACCTAACGTGTGGTTACTATGGAATGTAAATTTAAAAGTAAGCGCTTGATGATTTACTTAAACTTTTAAAGTTTGAATTAACTTTTTGTTGTACTAATTTTTATTTTTATTTATTAACTAATCAAAAAACTAAATTAGGAACGTCTTGGCGTCGATTAATGTTTAAATTTTATTCCGAATCGAAACAAAATCAAAGTATTTTATTTTCAAAATAATATAATTGTCATCTAATTCGTTTACAATTCCATCTTTTTTTTAATGATTTCACCACAGAAGAGTCTTTTTTAAAAAATTGCTTCCTTTTTTTTTAAAAAAATTTAATTGTAATATAGTGAAATAAACGATAAATAAATATAAATAATTTAATAAAATTAATATTTTTAAAGATCTGAACTGAAGTATTAGTAAGTATAGTTAAATAGTATAGCTTTTAGTTTGGAGTTTTAGTTATTTAGTAACTAGTTAGAGTAGTTTTTTAGTAGTAATTTAAATTAAAATAAATCAAAATTTAGGTAGAGATTAACAACAAGTCATTAGTTAGTGATTAGTTAGTGAGGGATTGTAATTGGAGATGGCAAATCATCGCTTTAGAAGAGATAGATCTGAAGTGAGTTCAGTCATCAAATATCTTGTCTTCTTCTTCAACATTATCTTCTGGGTTTGTTTTTATGTTTTGGTTATAATAATGATAAATAAAATTATTGTATAATATCATTAATATTAAAAGTTAGATTAATTAAATTTAAATTAAATTTGAAAAAATCTTAATCACCAGCAATCTAATATCAAATGATCATTAATTTAATATCATTGTATTTGATTTGATTTTTATCATCATCATCACCGTTATTAATCTCTAATCACTAATTAGATCCTGGGTGGCTTAATGTTAGCGATCGGATTGTGGGCCTGGGTTGAGAAAGATATGTTCACCAACATTAACAAACTTTCACAAATCCCTCTGGACCCAGCACTTTTCCTAATTTTAGTCGGTGGGCTGATTTTTGTAATCGGGTTTACTGGATGTATTGGAGCACTTAGAGAAAATACTTTTCTCTTGATGATTGTTAGTTAGTTGGTTGGCTTGATTTTTTAGTTGGTTTTTTCATTCAATCAATCTCAGGCATTCATCATTATTATTAGTTAATTAATTTATTAATTAATTTTAATTAATTAATAAAATAATTATTCATACAGTACTGTGTATCAGTTGGGATAATATTTTTCTGTGAGATGGCTGTTGGGATCATCGTTTTCATGTACAAAGACTGGGTGAGTGATGATAACGATGACGACGATAATGATAATAATTATGATGATGATGATGATGACGACGACGACGATGATGTTGTTGTTCCTCTTATTAATGATAACGGTGAGGATGATGTTGATAATGATGGTGGTGCTGGTTGGTTGATGGTGAGGATGTTTAATTAAAAGTAATTATGAATGCTTAATTATAAATAATAAAAAATAATTATGAATAAATACTTTTAAGGTGCGTGAAACGGTGAAAGAGCAGTTGAAGTCGATGATCGTTCAATACAGAGATGACCCTGACCTCCAGAATCTAATAGATTGGGTCCAGGAAGACTGGGTTAGTGCCTGGCTGGCTGGCTGCTTGATTGATTGATTGTATGAATGATTGGGTGAAATGATTGATTGGTTGACTGGCCTGCCCAGTTGAAGTGTTGTGGTGTGGAAGGGTACGACGACTGGAACTGGAACGTCTACTTCAACTGCTCGAGTCCGAGTCGAGAAGCCTGCGGCGTGCCGTTTTCGTGCTGTAAGCCTAACAATAACGTTAGTGATGATGGCCAGGATGATGATAATGATGATGGAGAAGATGATAATGATGATGATGATGATGATGAAGATGGTGATGATGAATATGATAACACAGTTGAAATTTTTTGTGAAAATAGAAGTTTTTTCACAACCATTCTCAGTATGATAATGATTAACTTCGTCGTCGTCATCATCACCGTCATCATCACCATCATCATCATCATCAGGAAGCTATCAAAAACTGGCAATGTGGATATGATACTAGGAAGGTTGGTTATGATGATGATGATGATGATTGTGATGATGATGATGAAGAAAATGACGACGACGATGATGATGATGATGTTGATTGATTTTGGCTTTTATTCATTATTTTATTTATGCCTATAATATATTTGTACTACAACTTGTAAATTTAATAAAAAAAACCACAATTACAACGTCATCAGCAACATCATCATCATCAGCCATAGAATTTACCCCACCCCTAATTTCTACCCTCCCCTTAAATTTTCACCCTAACTCCGCCCTACAGAACAAAGACCCAGCAGCATCAGCATCATCCTCATCATCATCATCACCGGCCAGACAGCAACTGAACAGCAACAGCAACAACAACAAAGATAGCAAAGATATTTCAGACCAAATTTACACGACTGGGTGTATTGATTCTGGGGAGGTCTGGGTCAACCACAATCTACTTCCGGTGGCCGGGGTTTTCATAGGGCTTGCCCTCGTTCAAGTTTGTTATTATTATTATTATTATTGTTATTATTATTATTATTATTATTATTATTATTACCTTTAATTTTATTTTATACAATTTTTAAAAATTTTATCATTGCGCATTATTTAATTAACATTAACTTATACATATATATATATATACATATACATATATATATATATATATATATTTATCATTGTATGTTTTTATGGTGAAAAATAAAGGATGTTCCCATCATTTTCATCGTCGTCATCATCATCATTTTTATTCAGATTCTTGGAATTTGTTTTGCCCAGAATTTAAGAAGTGATATTTTTGCCCAGAAGGCTAGATGGGAAGAACTGTGATGACGACGACGACGATGATGATGATGACGATGGGGATGATGATTTCGTCATTCTGTAATTTTATTCGCTAGTAATCTATATTTTATCTATCCAACATTCAACATTTAACAATGACAGCTTTATTATTGTTATTATTGTTATTGTTGTTGTTGTTTGTTGTTGTTGTTGTTGTTGTTGTTGTTGTTTTTTAAGTCGCACGTACTTCTAATCTAATGTTTTCAATGTTTATCTGTCGGCAGTCACTTCTCTGGTTGGTTGGTTGGTTGGTTGGTTGTTTATTCAACTTTGACTTCATTCAGTCATTTGTTATGTTTGTAAAAGTTTATCTGTTTATTCATTCGTCCATTCATTGGTTCATTCATTCATTCATTCTTTCGTTCGTTCATTCATTTTTTCAAGCATTCGTACTTTTTAAAAATTTGTTTATGTGATTATTCACACAATACATTTGTTCATTTGTCATTCATTCATTTATTCACTCATTCTTCATAGTTTACACACAGTATTATCTCAGTCTATTCAATAAATGTACACCAATTTTTTTACGTAATATTTCCACCATTTATACTTTTTATTTTATAAAATATTATTTGTAATAATTATTTTAATAATAATAATAATTATTATTATTGTTGTTATTGTTCTGCTTCCATGCTACATCTTTTTTCTTATTTATTTTATTTATCAACACCAAAGAGATGATATATATCTGATACACATATAATATATATATATATATTTTATTCATGTTTCTCTCTTTCTCTCTCTCTCTCTCTATATATATATATATATAGAGAGAGAGAGGGAGAGAGAGAGAGAGAGAGAGAGAGAGAACGAATCTTGATCATTCATATTTTCATCCTTAATGCTCTGTTTATTTAAGATTCATTTAGTTTAAAGAGTTTAATTTCATGATGTCGTTGGTTTTATCTGCCGTTTGGGTTGTTTTTAATGGCCGAGTGAGGCAGTTTCGGTGTCTTGTTGGTAATTGGCATTATACAATTTTGGACATCTTTTCCAAATGGAGTTTTTTTTAGTTTTTTAATGAAGTTTCGCACCACGAACAATGACGCACTGTAATTCGAATATTTCGGGAATGTGGCCCTGATGTAATGAATTAAGCTGGTAGTTTTTTTCTTCAACAGATTCGTGTAGAACTCAATCCCCAAAGTATGAAAATGTATTATTTGTAATAGCAATCCAGATGTTCTTGAAATATAGCATCTTGAATCGACTGAACATGAGTGTGAGGCTGATATCATGGATATATATATATATATATATATATATATATATATATATATATATATATATATATATATATATATATATATATTTCAAAAATTCAACACTACTTTCAACATTGTTCAACTTTTTCATATTTCTTTTTAATTTAAAATTTTTAAGTAGTGAAAAATTTTAAAAAGAAATATGAAAAAGTTGAACAATGTTGAAAGTAGTGTTGAATTTTTGAAATGTTGCGTTAACAACAGTCTGTTACCAAAATATATATATGTATATGTGTGTGTGTGTGAGTGTATATATATATATATATATATATATATATATATATATATCCATAGCTGCTATAGGATGGGTTAGGCTGGTAGTTTTCACTAGATCTGCCTTTAGCTTGCTGCAAAGTGGAATTTCGCTTAATTCCTAAAATAGCTATCCTAATGGGCATCTATTTTTAACTCGGTGTCGAACTTTGATTTATGAAGATTAGTTCGTTTCATTAGAGATCGAATATGTGGCAGATGAGACAGAATTCTTGTTGTTTTTTCAATAATTTTTGCGGGTAGATTTAGAAATTGTGTATTTTCATATAGTTCATTCAGAGTTTTTAACTTTTAAATAGGTTAGTTTATAAATATATTAATTGCTTTGCTATTTTTTGGAGTGAAAATTTGAAAATGGAAGGTAAGTTTATTTATAATTAATTATCACATAAAATCATTTGATTTAAATTGAAGATGAAATCACAGATCATTCAAATTTGAGTAATAAAACCGTTTGTTATAAACTTTTACAAATATTGAATTAACACTTTAAAGATAAGAAGAGTGATTTGATTTATTTTTATTTAATTTTATTTTTTCGAAATTTAGATTTGAAAAAGACAGCGCAGATGAAATTGAAGCCTAAATATAATTCAGCATGCATTTTTGAAACCTCTCAGGTTAAATTATGAATGAATGAATGAATGTGTGAGTGAATGAGTGATTGAACGTTTGATTAATTGGTTAAATTATTGAATGAACGAATGATCGTATAAGTGAATGGGTAATGAATAAATGGTTGATTGATTATATATAATAAAAATAATAATTTAATATAAACAACATTTTACTTGACACAGATGTGTAGAAATTCATCAAAAAATCAATATTCCTCTCAAAAGACAAATGATACAGAAAGAGGTTCTAGCAATTTGAAACTACCAAATGATGATGGTTGTGTGGACGACGACAAGAATGATGATTGCGATGGTGATGATGATAGAAAGGAGAGAACTAAGAAAAATTACAACTCTCGGAAAACATCAACATCATCCAGTAGACATTTTTGTAAAAATTTTGAAACATCTGCGAAGATTTCTCAAACCAAGAGTCAAAAAACTACCAATTACGATATATCCGCTGCTGCAGAAAAACTCGATATAAAGCACTCATCATCGGATATTTCGAAGACGTTGTATACAGCCCAGCCCAACTTCGATATACCAGAGCTATTCACTTTCAACATCAACAACTACAATCCAGTTCATTTCGATATAAACTTCGAAAACTCTAAATTTTTCGTGATAAAATGTTCTAACAAAGACGCGATACGCAGATCAATCCGACATTCACTTTGGTCGAGCACTCTGTACGGAGGTCAGAGATTGGACAAAGCTTTCAAAGAAGTCACTCAAAATGGCGGCAAATTATTTTTGTTTTTTAGCCCGAACGGAAGCGGAAAATTCTGTGGCATCTCTCAAATGACGTCATCAGTTGATTACACCACTCCCGTCCTATTTCTTGCCGAAGTCAAATGGAAAGGACAGTTTTCTGTTGAATGGATTTACGTCAAAGACGTGCCGAACGATCAGTTGAGACACATTCGCTTAAATAACAACAAAAATAAACCTGTCACTAATTCAAGAGACACGCAAGAGATACCGTACGCTGAAGGCTTGCAGGTCTTCAAAATTATACAACAATACCCCTACCTCGGCTGTGTTTTCGATGAAGATGATTGAAAATGTCAACCGAACGGACATACTTCAAAACTCTATTTGTTCGTCTCACCTCGATATAAAGACACAATAACTTCAACTGCTGATATCAGCAGTTACATACAGCTACATACACCCAGCCGCCATGTTCGAGTGCACTTAGAAACATGTTTCTAAGTGCACTCGAACATGGTGGCTGGGTGTATGTAGCTGTGCCTGCTTGATTGTTTATATTGCAAACCTTAATTATCATCATTTGCTGCCTAAATGTATTTAATTTAAATTTATGCATCCACACGTGTGTGTGTGAGTATGTGTGTGCGTGTGTGTGTGCAGCAGCTGTACGATCGGAATTCCCCAAATTTCACTTTCGGATGTTTTCAAAGCGGCTTTATATTTCTTCTAATCATTATTTAGATCGTAAGGTACTGTTGTGCTTGCATACATATTAAGATCGTTTTACGTGCACTCGAGTGTTCAATCATTTTAAAATAATTATATTTCCAATTGAAGGTACTTAAATAGAAATTTTGAGATCATCTACATGATAAATAATAATACGTTGAATTTGTGTTTGTGCGTGTACTGTTAATTAATTAATGGCTACTTTGTTTAAACGTCTGATTATTCTGTAAAATAATTTCTAAAAAACTTGTGAAAAAATGTCAACAACTTTAAAAGTTCGACTTCCGGCTGAGAATCAACAGGAAGTTGTGGAAGTACTGAATTTGAAGAAACATTTCTTTGATGGGATAAACTGTTCGATAACAGTTGATAGTGCGAGGAAGTATCTTTTGGTTAGCAGCCATGATGAAGACGTCGTCAGAAATATTGCATACACACTGACGCAGCAGATAAAATGGATCGTAACATCAAAAGTTAAATCAGTATACCGAGATTTTTTGCAAAAATTTGTCCGAAAAGATTGCCACGGCGAATGGTTTAAAAGACTCGCGAAGGAAAATGGCTTTGTAAACGTTCGTTTGGTTGAAAATGGCAGAGATGATGGTGACGGTTGTTTGTATCTCATAGCTCTCACGAGGGAGAAAATTGATCTGTTTGAAAGATGGTTGGATAAAGTTATTGCTAAGGCGAGTGTTTGGTTTTCGATTTTTCATTTATTCAGTGGCTCGTTCGTTTATTCATTCATTCATCCATCCATTCATTTATTCATTCATTCATCCATCTTTCCACTTACTCGTCCACCATTCATCATACTATAACCACATTCCAAAAACCTTTTCATAAGGAACGCCTAACCTTCCTACATACGCACAACAAAGAAGCCGCGGACAATCTGACAAAATATCTCTCCTTTATGCAATCAACACACTACGTAACGTTCAAAATGGAAGATGAATATTTAGAATTAAGTGGCTTCGTACCAGATTTAAACTCCATAGTCTCCCTTGTGAAAGAGAAGCGCAAGCATTTGAATGAGAACATTATCCACAGAAAGTTGTCGCAACTTCAGTACAAATTTTTATCCACTTTCAACTGTCTCCAGTTAGTATTTTTCAAAAAATATATATTAGTAATAGTAGTAATAGTAGTAGTAGTAGTCGTTGTAGTAGTAATGATGGTAGTAGTAGTAGAGGTAGTAGTAGTAGTAGCAGAAATATTATTATTGTATTATTATTAATAGTAGTATTGGTAGTACGTATATAATTCATTAAAATATAGTAGTTATATTATTTATAACTATAATAATATTATTGATGATATTCATAATTATAGTTGAAGTGTCTGGCGCAGCTGTTATACTGACTTGATCATATTCGAACGCGTTCTTTCGCGTCGATCCATCTGAAACATTCTAGAGAAGAAATTTATATAAATAATATATATAAATAAAATAATAATTGTAATAATAATAATACATAATTATAGAGAAACTTCTAGTTGTTTGGTTAGTAATTCTACAGTGTGTTCATTCAACGACTGTGAATACTTGACGAACTTCCTGAGGAAAAACCTTTCCAAGACTTTTGAAATTGACGATTGTAAGCCATTCTCGATACATCTTTGTATCAATTTTTAAAAAATATATGTAAAATTTTTTAATAATACTAATAACTCGATGTTAAAATTAACAAATATTAAATTTCTATGATGGTGATCCGATGTCCCAAGCACATCTTTACATTTAACATATTGTTATTACCGACCCCTTGAACTTGTAGTTGCAGTAATTGACTTATTTTAGATGAACTTTATTAGAAAAAAAACAATGCTGTGACCAATCACTCGTTTATTCAAACATTAAGAATAAGCACAATTAACTAACAACAGGATAATTCAGTGAATAAAACTAATCGTCAATAAATCAAGCTTCTCTCGTCAGACCAGACGTTTATAGGCCGTAAATTCTCAGTATTCGCTTCTCAGAAGATTATCGTTAATTCATCCGCCCACCGACCGTGTGTAGAATTCTTCGTGATAAACTTTTCCTCGGAAGTTATAGCTAATTTGCTTGCAGTTCGCACACAAACTTTTCTGCGATAGGATTTCTAATTCTGCTCGAAACCTCCTTTGTCTCCTTCTTGATGAACGTTCTCTTCTTTTTCGTTCTCTTCTTTACAAGTACTTGTGAATGTGCCTAATGTGAAGTGCCTTAAATGAATTTTAAATCTAATTAATCTAAATTCCTTAGTTTTGTTAATTCTTCGATGCATGCTTAACATTTCCTAACTATTAGTCTCCATCTCGACCTCACGTCTGTAACAATTTTTCAAACTTTGAAAATGGATTAAAATTTTTAAATAATAAATTCTCAACGGCAATATTACCCAATTCAACAGAAAGTATTTGTATTAACTTTTAAAAAAATGAAATCAAAATTAGCAAATTTCTCAGTTCGATATTTCATCAACAGATCTTGTCAGTGCGTGGGTAGAAGCTGATGAAGACGGGAATGAAGCACGTTCATTTGGAGATCTCGTCAAAGAATGTAGATGTGTATATTCAATTATTTCCAAAAACACGAACAAACCAAATGGGGAAAAGCCCCAAAACACGGCATGCCAACAAAGTTTGAATTGTCCCCAGACTATGGAAGACCAACGCAAGACTCAATCTGTGATGAGTCAACAAAACATGAAACATTCCCAGACTATGGAAGACAGAAAAAATGAGTCAGAGTCTCAACCCATGGCAAGCAAACAACGTCTTAGCATGTGGTTTAATTTCTTATCTCCATGTCTTATCGGGGTCCACCGCCAAAATATGGCAAAACTTTCGCTTTTGAGCGATTCTCTTCAAAATATTTTTCTTTGCTTAGAAGAGATAAAAAAACATGTTAATCAGAACTACGTCAAATTTATTATAAAAACAGAACTTTTTTATAATTTGTATGCTCTAACTTCATTACTGACAGTCGATAGTTATAAGATAATCATCGATAAAATTACATTCGATGTTGCCATCTACCTCCATCCTGAAAACTCAGCAAAAGTTAGTCAGCTGATAATTAATTTCTTTAACGAGACCTACTCATCCGCAGAAAATTCTCTTGAAAATGAACTCAAATATATCAATGACTATAAACATCACTGCTACAACATACGAACGATTGTAATGGGAATCAAATTCAAAAAACAAAGTTTGAAAAACGAATTCTCCAGTACACAGTGAGTTTTAAATGGTTCTTAATAAAATATTCACATCATTGAAAAGATACCCGCCTAATCTGCTTGATACGTATTCATCTGATAATAGTAACAATACCATAATTTTCTGCGATATTTTAACAGAAATATATTTATTAAATTTTCAAAGGGAAGAGAAAGAGAAGACTCAAACAACGCATGACTACCCCATGGATATATCCATGGGCTACCCGGAAGAAACACACTTTGGTCTGCGGTTATTTTTAAAAATAACCTTTGCATTTTAAAATTTAAATTATTAAATTTAGTAGGGTTAGGGTTAGGGAAAAGACGTAAAAGGTAATATGAAACAGTTGAGTGCTTTCAAGAGTATGAAGTTTGAAAAAATGAAATGAAATTAATTATTTGTGTCGAACGTTCGGTTGAAATCATACAACGAAACTTAATGAAAATAATTACGATTAATGAGTGAGTAATAGTTAAAATGCTAATGACTTTTTAAATAGATAATATTAACGACATCATTATTTAACCGTTTCAATCTCAGATCTCAAAAAATTCGTCATCCACAATGATAGCGATTACGAACCAGCGGCCAAGTTTCCAAAAGTTGAGTCAAGTAACTCCTGTTGTTCGCCATCGTGGACCGGTTAAAAATATTGCCCTGATTCGAAAGTTCTTCTGGAAAGATAAATGACCATGTAAAAATTAACTTTATCATTCAATAACTTTAATGAGCTGCTTCTCTACTTGAAAAATTGTTGTAAAATTATTGACATCTAATAATGTGGCTTGAAAGTTCTTCTGGAAAGATAATTTTTCTTTAATAGTTTTGTTTGTAAAAATAAACTTTATTGACATTGTAAAAATTAAATTTATCATTTAATAACTTTTAATGACTTATTTCTCCATTTGAATAATTTTATAAAAAAATTTTAAAATTAATAAATTTAAAGTTTTGATTTAAAATTTTGAGTTTCAACTTGAAATTTTATGTCTATAAATTTTTTTATTTTAATATTTGAATATAAAACAGCGCTTTCCATAGTTTTGAAGTTTTTGTCGTTTCTCGTTCGCTTTTAAAAAGTCAACAACCGATATGGCGACATTATTATTACTTTGTTTGCTTGTAAAATCAAAGTCTTCTGTTAATTTATTACCCAAAGTTGTAAAATTACTTTCTTTGCTTTTAAAATCAAAGTCTTCTGTTAATTTATTACCCAAAGTTGTAAAATTACTTTCTTTGCTTGTAAAATCAAAGTCTTCTATTAATTTATTACCCAAAGTTGTAAAATTACTTTCTTTGCTTGTAAAATCAAAGTCTTCTATTAATTTATTACCCAAAGTTGTAAAATTAGATTTTGTTCCATATAAATTGCTGTTGTTAATGAATATTTGAAATCAGGAAAGTTCCTATTTTTGTTCCTATATCTATTTAGTTCCTAATAAGTTATAATATTAATTTTTGTTTTGTTTTGCCTACAAGCTTTGACAAACTTTTAGTTTCTTAAATTAATTAAATTACAATTTGGTAAATAAGACATTTCACAATGAGTAATAACGGATCACAAAAAAGAAAGGATCTTGAAAAGTTCACTGTCAATGATGATTTTGAAGGCCAACCATTAAAAAAAAAACTTAAACTTGGAACAGAAAGCAGCATTGCCATGAAACTCATGGTTAGTTAATTAGTGAATGTGTTTAATTTATTTAATTTAATATTTTAATTTAATATTTTATTTATTCATCAATTCAAAATAACTTAATATTAGTGGATTGATTGAGAAAATTAAAAAAAAATTGAATTGTTAACAAAACACCAATGAATAAAGTTATAAATTATTCTTTATTACCAATTCAGAGCAAGATGGGATATAAAGAAGGAAGAGGGTTGGGCAAACACGAACAGGGGATCTCCCAACCAATTGAAGCCTCAAAACAAAAAGGCAAACGAGGGCTTGGACTAAATTCTAATAAAAAAGGACTTCAACCATCAGAGGTTCAATGGAATTTTGATGCTGAAGAATTAGGCAAATGTGAAGTCATTGATTGGTTGACCAATCCATCATTCATTTCAGAAATATCTCCTAATTGGTTAGAGAATGGACCAGTTAAACTGGCGTTAGACAACGAAACAAAGTTTTGCTCTGAAGAAACTTTAACTAGCATCCTAGAGGGAAAAACAATTTTTGACAGCGTTGAGCCCGAAGATATGATGAAGGCTCGAACGAGGTCCAACCCCTACGAGACAATTAAATCTGCCTTCTTCCTCAACAGGGCAGCCATGAAGATGGCAAACATGGACTCAGCATTCAATTATATGTTCACATCGCCTACAAATCCTGACAACAAAAATGAGTCCCTAATCGCCAGAGACGAACTCCTAACATTCGCAGACATCTGTGCTGGTCCCGGGGGCTTCAGTGAGTACATTCTCTGGAGAAAAAAAGGGATGTGTAAAGGCTTTGGTTTTACTCTAAAAGGAAATAATGATTTTAAATTAGAGGATTTTAGTGCAGGGCCTCCTGAAATGTTTGAGCCCCACTATGGAGTGAAGGGTGCTGATGGAGATGGAGATATTTTTCAGATGGACAACCAAAAAGAGTTTGAAGAATTTGTCAGGTGGAGGACGAATGGTCGAGGCGTGCATGTTGTCCTGGCCGATGGGGTAAGTTGTTTGTTTTATTTATTTAAGCCATTTATATAATTTATCTAAAATTGAAAAAATAAGTTTTTTCTACTATAGTTTGTTATAAAACAATGTATTAATTTTTAATCCAGGGATTCTCTGTCGACGGCCAAGAGAATATTCAGGAGATCCTCTCACACCGATTATATTTGTGCCAGTTCCTGGTGGCTCTCTCCATCTTGAGGGCAGGTGGAAATTTTGTATGCAAACTGTTTGACCTTTTCACCGAGTTCAGTGTTGGGCTAATATTTTTAATGGCCCACTGCTTCCACCGAGTGAACATTTTCAAGCCGGTAACTAGCAGGCCGGCCAACTCCGAAAGATATTTAATATGTGAGGGGCTCTTACAAACAGACCTCACTTCAGACATATTAGATTATTTCAGACTGATAAACAGTAAGATGGCAGCTTCATATTTGGGCGACAAATCATCTAACTGGATGATAAGAAGCATAGTGCCTTGCAGAGACTTGACATCGTCAGAGACATTTTTTAATTACATCGTTCGATCAAACAATTTTTTAGGAGAGATGCAGAAGATATCACTGCATAAGATTAAAATTTTCGTTCAGAATGTGAACCTCCACGATCACAGACAAGCAGACGTCAGAAGAGAATGCCTGAGTAAGTGGGACATTCCAGATGAGACAAAGACGAAAAACTTTGATGAACAAATCTCTGCCCACAAATGTTACTGTTCCCTCGTGCGAAACACTTACGATCTGCCGACAACTGCACTTACGTCGAGAAACATTGACGACATAAAATGTCTTCGAGTTGTGAAGACAACCGTCGCTGCAAGCACGCAGAGGTGTCTGCTGCTGGCTGTCGAAAGGAATCAGGTCTTCATGAGGAACAAGACGACATGGGAAAGGCTGGAGTACGTCACTTCAATCCCGAAAAACACGCTTCTGGATGTGGAGATGGTTGAAGAACAACGCGGGGACCTCAGTCGATTGGTTGGTCGTTTGTTGCTGGTCGTTTTTATTGATGGATGGATGTTGAATGAGAGAGGAATTGAATGAACGAATTTAATGGTGAATTGATGCATGAATAGATGGAATGAATTATTAGATAGATGGTGAATGAATGAGTTAATGGATGGTGATAGAAAGAATGAATTGATAAGTTGGGTCGTTGTTTGATTGTATTAAATAAATTTGAGCCACCTGCTTTCATTGTGCACATCATAAACTTCTCCTTTAAAATTTTCAGAACAGGGGCGGAATGAAAGTGAAAGTGATCCACGTTTACGACGTGATCACGTGGTTCGGCAATGACGTCACGGGTCTGAACTTCGAAGAGAGACACAACCTCCTCAGACTCTTAATCTCAGCCTCGACGAAAGTGACGCGACCACACGTGACGCCACTGCACGTGAAGCAATACCACAACCTCGCAGACGTCGGGGAAAACATCTTCAACAGGCTGCACTACGGTCTCGTGAAAGGAGGTGGCCAGCATGCACCCAAGCTCCTACTACCAATCACCGATCCTGAAGACAACTTGCCAGCTCCCGCAAGCTCCACTTTCACTAACAACCGACGGGATAGATACATGATCCCACACGGAATTTACCTAACGGTCATATGTCCACTTCCTTGGATTATCGGACATAGCAAGTCATCTAAGAAGGACTACTACTACCACGTACATGATAGAGTCTCGAGATACGACATGCCCGACGATGCCAGAGCCACATACGAAGTCTGCCTGAAGAATACTTTCTACTGGACTTGGGCAGACGAGGTGAAGATGTTGGAGAAGCAGGAAGTTAAGTCTAAACAGACGAATAATACATTAGTCACAAAGGAGATGTTTTTGGAATTCGTCCATAAGTTGTCCCGGCTATGATGAGTCTCATCATTCAGATGTCTCTTTGTAATCATTATTTTTATTATTATTATTATTGTTATTTTTCAATTCGCAGATTTCATATCCGTGTATCTTATCTATTTTCATTTATGAATTCATTTTAGAAACTGTTTTTTTCCATCTAAATTGCCGTGTACATATGAAAAAATTAAAAAGTTCGTTTGACGAAATGTCTCGTTTGATATCGTTAAATATCGGTCGGAATCGTTTTGTGTCGTCAAGTATCTAAGTATCATTCTTTAGTGACCAGTATCATTATGTAGTGACCAGTATCATTATGTAGTGACCAGTATCATTTGATAGACATAAGTCTTGTACGGTAAGATACAATCAGAGATCAATAGACAAGCATACACACAAACATACACACGGACATACAAACAAACATACAAGCGATCCTGCATACATTCGTCGCCAAATCTTCCTTTGTTACCCAGTCACCATGGTATTTCGGTAAATAAAATTGATTTTTTGTTCTTTTAAAAGAATACAATTGATGTGCGTGTATGTGTACGTGTGTATGTATATATTCCAAAATATGTATGTATGTGTGTGTGTATGTATATGTGTGTGTGTGTGCACGTCTCTGTGTGTATGTATGTGTGTTTGCTTTGTGATATCAAAGCAAATTTTAAAAACGTCGCTGTTAAATTAAGAATGCTAAATAGATCTCAAATTAACTTATTTAAATTAAATTAAGGATTATAATTAATAAAAATAATTAAAATAATAATAATTATTTAGTTAGTAGTAGTAGTAGATTTAGCAGTAGTTAGTTGTACTTCGGTTATATGGATTCAAGATAATTTTTTTTGATTTACTTCTAAAAAATTGAAAAAAGTTAATAATAATAAATAACAAAATAGTAATAAATAATAATAAAGATTAATAATATTATTACTAATAAAATAGAATTATGAAAGTAATTTTTCTTCGAACTAGACAAAAATAATAATTATTACTACTCAAGATGGGAGACGAGACGTTAGTATAATTAAATAATACTAATTATATAAATAGGAATAAAATTACTACTACTGCTGCTACTACTTCTACTACTACTGCTACTACTACTACTACTGCTACTACTACTACTACTGCTACTACTACAAATAATAGTTGAATATTTTATTTTTTAGCAGCGTTAAAGTGGCCGTAAGAGTTAGGCCTTTCAACCAAAGGTGAGCAAATAAATATAAATAATAATATAATTATTATAATAATTATTATTATTTGCAATATATATTTATAAACAGCATTTTGTATTTTTATTGCAACTATTAAAAAGAATGATAATGATGATGATGTGGATGGGGTGATGAAGACGATGATAACAGATCAGAAAGGTTTATTGCTAGAAAGAGAGAGAGAGAGAGAGAGAGAGAGAGAAAGAGAGAAAAAGTGAGAAAAAGGCAGAAAAAGAGAGAGATACATGAAAAATTTCAATTTATTTCACAGAGAAAAAGATCGGAATGCGAAGTTAGTCATAGAGATGAGGGGTAACATGACCCTCATATCGAACCCCGACGCCCCAAGTTGGCCCTTATTTATTATTATTATTATTAATATTGGTATTATTATTATTATTATTATTATTATTACTATTATTATTTAAATATATTTTCAGAAGAGGAACCCAAGAAGGTAAAATTATTTTTTGTTACAAATCAAAAATTAAATCTACGATAAAACTTGACTGCCAATCAATTTGAATTTTCAATTTTATTTAACGGGTATGAATATTTATCGACCAATCAAATCGATTGAAAAATTTCATTAACCAATCGATTTTGATGTGACTTTTTTTTTGCTGATATATTCAATCAACCAATCACATTTGAACAGTTCACTTTCGACTATTCCTACTGGTTAGTCATTTCAACTCAAATATTTTAAGTTTTCCAAAAATAATTTACCGATAATAACGATGATGATGATGTTGGTGGTGGTAATGATGATGAAATAATGAATGAATTGAAGTAATTAATAACTGATGACAACAGCAGCAGCAACAGCAGCAACTACAACTACTACAAATAATAATAATAATAACAAGGTCACATGACGGATACAGTACTGATTCTGATGGGACTTTGAGGCCAGCCGGAAATAGTTCGAAATATGCGTCTCAGAAAACTGTCTTTGACGATTTAGGCAGAGGCGTTCTGAAAAACGCGTTTGAGGGTTATGATGATGATGTTGTTGTTGGTGATGATGATGTTGTTGTTGGTGATGATGATGATGTTTTTGTTGCTGTTGGTGATGATGATGTTGTTGTTGGTGATGATGATGTTTTTGTTGCTGTTGGTGATGATGATGTTGTTGTTGATGTTGTTGTTATTGTTGTTGTTGATGATGTTAAACAATTAGAAACATCGCCACAATCTACTTTATAATCTCAACCAAGAAACACCACCATCATCATCATTATCACCATCATCATCGTCGTCTTCATCATCGTCATCATCATCAGGTTACAACTGTTCTCTTTTCGCTTACGGACAGACTGGTTCCGGCAAATCCTACTCTCTCATTGGCTACGGACCGAACAAGTGATGACGACGATGATGATGTTGTTAAGAAAAATAATAATAATAACCTTACTACTACTACTTCTACTACTACTACTACTACTACTAATAATAATAATAATTATAATTATAATAATAATTGTAAATAATAAATAATAATATTCAGAGGTATCGTGCCGATAACTTGTGGCGAACTTTTCAAAACCATAGATTCTAATAAGGACGCCAGCAAGGTTAATTACTACTACTATTGCAGTAATAATATTTATACCACTACTACTACTACTACTAATACTACTACTGTTGCTGCTGCTACTACTGCTAATACTACTGCTGCTACTACTACTACTACTACTGCTGCTGCTGCTGCTACTACTACTTGTGGCTATACCAATCCATTTTTGTTGCCATTCAGAGGTACGAGGTTTCATTCTCAATGCTGGAGATCTACAACGAGCAGGTGGGTCAGGGTCATCATTGTTATTATTATTATTATTGTTGTTGTTGTTGTTATCGTCATCATCATCATAACCACCAGGTGCGTGATTTGCTTACGAAGGAAAGCCCCAAAGGCGGGCTACCAGTTAGGCAGAATCCGCAATTTGGTTCATTCTATGTACAAGGTGAGATTTTTTTCTGTCAATCATTCATTCATTCATTCATTCATTCATTCATTCATTCATTCATTCATTCATTCATTCATTCATTCATTCATTCATTCATTCATTCATTCATTCATTCATTCATTCATTCATTCATTCATTCATTCATTCATTCATTCATTCATTCATTCATTCATTCATTCATTCATTCATTCATTCATTCATTCATTCATTCATTCATTCATTCATTCATTCATTCATTCATTCATTCATTCATCCGTTCGTTTGTTCGTTTCTATCATTTATTTATTTTATTAACGTTAGAACATTTATTCATTCTTTCATTCATTCATTCTTCTATTCATTCTTCCATTCATTCATTCTTTTATTCCTTCTTTCTTTCATTGAAGGCTTGAAACAAGTTCCTGTGGGTAGTTACGTGGAAATTGACAAGAGGATGCAACAAGGTCATCATCATCATCGTCATCATCATCATCATCGCCACCATCGTCATCATCGTCGACATCATCACCATCGTCATCATCGTAGTCATCATCATCGTCACCCTGACTACCTCCCAGGGACTGCCAGTCGTACGATCGGTTCGACGGACATGAACGCCACGAGGAGCAGGGCCCACACGCTGGTCACCATCACGTTCGATCAGTTCATCAGGAGTGGCGCCAGTGAGAACAAGAAGAGCAGTACGATGAATCTTGTGGATCTGGCAGGTTTGTGAGCGGGGGTTTTTTTAAGGGAAATTTTGTCGTTTCTAATTAGACAGGGCCAGCTGATTATTATTCATGAGTTAACGATGAATGGTTTTCGTAATTTCTTCAATTTTGATTCGATGATGAAAAATTGGAGAGAGATAGAGAAAAAGAGAGAGAAAGTGAGAGAGAGAGAGTGAGCGAGAAAGAGAGAGATGATTATTATAAGGGTTAATTGTAAATGGTAAGAGTGGCAGAGTTTTCCAACTTTGGCCATCCCAAGTTAGATATGCAAAGCTGATTAACATTAGTCAGCGAGCCTTTTTCTGATTGGACGCAGATGAAACTAATAAATATTCATAAAAGAACCGTAAGTTCGCAGTCTTACTCTTAAATTTATTAATCATAACTTACAATAAACATTTCATTCATAATTAATAATAAAATAATTACAATAGAATTAAATAATTAAATAATTAAATTATAAAATAATTCTGCAGGCTCTGAGCGGGCTGATAGCACGGGTGCAACTGGCGATCGTCTCAAAGAAGGCGCCAATATCAACAAATCACTGTCAGCTCTTGGTAACGTCATATCGGTAAGGGTTTCGGTTTTGACCGAATGTTTCGAATCTATCGGTATGTGTTTCGAATCTATCGGTATGTGTCGATTCTATGTTTCGATTAAACTCGTAAGGGGAGATCTAGGTTCTTACAATTTTTTAAAAATTTTACCAAAGATACAAAAACTAATTTGTTACTTAATTCACATAATAATTTATTAATTTATTCACAAATTAATTTATTCACAAGTTATTTTATTAATTTATCAACAAATAACTAATTTATTAATTTATGCAGGCCCTGGCTGACTCGTCAAGTGGCAAGAAAAAAATCGTCGTACCCTACCGTGATTCAATCCTAACAAAATTACTTCAAAATGCCCTTGGTGGCAACAGGTCATAATTAGTTATAATTAATAATTATTAGTTATAATTAATAATTATTAGTAGTAATTAAAGTTAATATTGTTTGTTCCTTCTTTCGTTCGTTTCTTTCATTTATTCGTTCGTTCATCTGTTCGTTTGTTCGGTCGTTCGTCCGTTCGTTCGTTTCGTTCATTCATTTGATCGTTCGTCTATCAATCAATCCATTCATTTAATTATAAATATAATAATAATAATTATAATAATAAATAATAATAATAATATATATATTTTTTTAAATTTACTTCAGCAAGACGATAATGATAGCCGCCCTCTCCCCAGCCGACATCAACTACGACGAGACTGTTTCCACACTGAGGTCGGGAGGAATTATTTTGCATGAATGATTGAATGAATGATTGAATGTGGATGGATGAATGAATGATTGGATGAATGAATGAATCGATAAATGAATGAATGGATTGGCGACTGAATGGATAGATTAGATAGATTTTTAGATAAATAAATTTTTAGATAGATGAATAGATAGATAGACAGACAGACAAACAGACAGGCAGACAGATAGACAGATAGATAGACAGTCAGAAAGACATACAGAAAGACAGACAGACAGACAGACAGACAGACAGATAGATAGATAGTTCAATTCCACAAAAAAGGTACGCTGATCGAGCCAAAAGAATTAAAAACAAGGCGATCATCAATGAAGATCCGATGGACAGATTAATTAGGGAACTTAGGGTGAGGATGATGATGATGATGATGATGGTGATGATGATGGTGGTGACGATAATGAGGATGGTGGTGATGATGATGATGGTGGTTATATAGAAATAATTTTGTTTGTTATCCATCCATCTATCTAAAATTACTTGAGTGCCAGATCAGTAAATATCTTTCTATTCAATGGTTCGTTCGTTCTTCGTTCATTTATTTATTTACGAATTCATTCATTCATTCATCATTTTATTCATCCATTCACTCACGTAGGAGGAGAATGAACGACTGAAGGAACAAATTAAATCCGGAAAGATCATCGAGCAGATTGAAGTAACGAAAGAAATGAGTCCCGAAGGTGACGACGACGACGACGATGATGTTGATGATGTTGATGATGGTGATGATGATGATGATGGTGATGATGACGATGATGACGATGATGATGATGATGACGATGATGGTGATGATGATGATGACGATGATGGTGATGATGATAGTGTTGATGATGATGGTGATGATGATAGTGTTGATGATGATGGTGATGATGATAGTGTTGATGATGATGGTGATGATGATAGTGTTGATGATGATGGTGATGATGATAGTGTTGATGATGATAGTGTTGATGATGATGGTGGTGGTGGTAGTGGTGATGACGATACTAATTTGAAATAAGACTAAAAATTTAGTTTGTTACTGGCTAGAAAATTATAAAACACCAATCTTTCTCATTCCACCACCATCATCATCATCATCATCATCAACGCTATCATCATCATCATCATTGTCGTCGTCATCATCATCATCATAGTCATCATCATCATCGTCAGAAATCGAAAAGTTAAAAAAGCAAATGATGTTGGAGGCGATGGACAAACTGAAGGTGAACCAGGAAAAAATCGAGGCCTCTGTTCAGAAAGAAAAAGCCTGGAGTAAGAAGGTGGGATTATTATTATTATTAAAATTATTATGATTATCATTAATATAATTTTTATTAATTAGGCTATAATATTTTTTACAAACTTTCAAACCAAATCCCCCTCTGCCCCCTCCCTCCACTGCAGTTGGAACTGGCACGGGCCGAATCTTTCATCAACATAAACGACGACAGAAAACTTAAAGAGCCTCATCTCATGAATATTAATGAAGATCTATTATTATCAGGAGTGGTGTTCCACTTTTTGAACAAAGGGGTGTCCAGGATTGGCCGGAAGGATGCGAAACCCGCCCCTGATATATGCTTCAGCGGACTCAGGTAGTTAGACAGAGTTATGATTACCTTAAATTTAATTAGCTATCCCGCTATCACGTTATTTTTAGCATAATTAATAACCTTATTAACATAATTTATTCAGCATAATGAAGCATCATGCCGACATAGTCAAATTATCTGACGGAACGTTTGAGCTTCGACCCATGGAAGGGGCAAAGGTCAAGGTTAACGGACAGCCAATCAGAGAAGCCCATGTATTGAACTATAACGACAGAGTGCTGTTTGGTTGGTTGGGTGATTTTTAGAAAGAAATGTATTGGTCCTTAAAATTATTAACTTCCACCAATCAATTACAGGGTCCAACCATCTCTACGTATTCATCAACCCATTGGACAAACCGAAATCACGTGATGCTGACGTCACGGTGACGTGGGAGATGGCCCAGATGGAAATTGCACAGGCGCAAGGTTTCACCACCACCTCAGATATGTCGGCGCTCTCAAGAGGTCGGTGATGATAGTGATTGCGATAGTGATGATGATGATGATTGTCGTTTTTGATGGAGATGAAGAAGATGGTGATTTTAAAGAGGAAGAGTAGGATGGTGATGATGTAACTGGTGATGATGATGACGATGAAGATGATGATGATAATAATAACATGAGGAGGCGTGGCTTAAATTTATGACAGACACCTCTTGCCCCTCCCATAGACAAACAAATAACGCAAGAGCAAGTCCTTGAACTCTTGCCCATCGTGTCAGAGGTCAACGCCCTCTCCGAAGAGATGAACAAATACAAAACGTTCGACGTTGTCTTGCTGGCCCTGGACGCTTACGAGGGCATCAACGCAAGACCTACTAAGTTTGTGGGGTCTCGTTTCGTCTCGTTTCGTTTCGTTTTGTGTGTGTGTGTGTGTGTGTGTGTGTGTGGAACGGTGGAGACTGCTTTAGAAAAAAAAACAAATGTTCACTAATTGAAAATGAGATTTTCAATTCGTGATTTTATTTTATGCCAGTAGGTTTTGTGGGATTTTATCTGCTTAAGTCTTAATGGTTGTTGATCGGGATTTTCATTTTTAACTTCATCATCATCATCGTCATCATCATCATCATCATCCTCATTCTCATCATCGTCATCATCACCGCCAGAGTGATGGTCCAGATGAAAGATCTGTTGACGCAGAATGTCTGGCTCTGGGAGAGAGGAAAGTTTCTAAATAGAAGGTTTATCATGCAGGTTTGTTCATTAATTAATTAATTCATTTATTAATTCGTTCATTCAGTCATCCATTCGTTCATTCGTTCGTTTATTGTCAATCAATCCATCCACCAATCAATCCATCCACCCATCGTTCCTACTTTCTCTCCAGGATCTCTACCAGACGATGTTGGACGGAGACCTGGACATCGAGACGATCCCGAATGACGAAGACCCTTTCTGGGAACCCGTGGAAGATATGCTGCTGGGACACGCGAACATCTTCCTCCAGAGTCTAGCCTACCTTCTCGACTTCGAAGACAGCATCCCGATCCGGAATTTTAAAGGGGATGATGAAGGTAAGATGGGATGAATGAGTGAGTGAATGAATGAGTAAATAAATGAATGAATGAAAAAAGGAAGGAATGTTTAATTCTTTTCATAAATCCAGGAACACTAAAAGTTCACATACTCCCCTGCTCATCAAATGGACGCAACCTAGGCGATGAACACTACGTCGAACAGCCGAAAGAACTCGTCGGCAAGCCATACCATTTCAAAGTTAGAGGGGTGTCCAAGTCATTAATTTTATTTCAAAAAATAGTTTTGTAAATCGTGAAAAATGTATCGTTGTTACATCGTCATCTTCATCATCCTCATCACAATCATCATCTTCCTAATCCGCTCCCAACACATCCCACGCAAACTCCCACCCAGATCCTGGTGAAGAGCCTGGAACTGCACGACAGCCGCCACAAACACGGATTGTACGTGAGATACAACGTCAGGGGAGAGAGCATCGTACAAACGAAAACAGATGCGGGAAAAAATACTTCCGGATGCACACTTGCCACCTTCAATCACTCCCACATAATCTCATTTCCTTCCGTCACCAAACAACACGTGGAGTTCTTCGAGAATGGTTGCGTTACGTTCTGCGTCTATGCCGTCCAAGTCGATTGCAAGCCCAATCCAAAGCTGGCGAAGATGTCGACCAAGGTGTTTGTTTCCAGTATTCTTCTTCTCTTTCGCTTGTTTGGTGTTTTTTTTTCATAGGGTTGGATGAAATTGGAATGAAAGTTGGGATGATGATGAAGAAGATGATGATGATGATGGCGTTCGCGATGATGGTGTTGGTGATGTTTGTGTCTGTGTGAAGATTAACTCACTAAATCTAGTTGCTAAAAATAGAACATCGATTTATTAACCAATCAACCAACCAACCAACCAACCAATCAGGAGCTAAGAAAACTTGAATCGACGGATGAACTGAGCGAAAAAAAGTTCAGCGAAAGAAGAAAATCCATGATGATGATGATGATGACGTCATCGGTGACGTCACCTGACGCCAGCCAATTGAAGAGCGAGGTCCTGTTACTGCAGAGGAAGTGCGAGAGACTGGAGAGCAAGGAACGAAGGTTGCAGGAACTATGTCGGGAATGGTCGAAGAAATCGGAAGAGGATAAAGTAAGACTGGGATGAAATGGGGATGAGGTAAAATGGGATAACAGGATTGATATGGATTTGAAATAAAGATGAGCTGTGAGGATTAAATTCTGACCAGCCAGCCAGCCAGTCACTTATTAAACGTAGCAGTTTTACAGAGTTTAAATAGTTAAACATTGATAATAATTATTGTTATTATTAAACATACACACACACACACACACACACAAACATACAAACACACACACACAAACACACACACAGACAGACATCTATTCATTTCCTCACAGATTTTTGAAGTATTTTTCGGCCAAATAAACGCGCTGGCATTCAGCAGCGGTAGAAAACTGAAGACAAGAGTGAAGATGATAACACAGGTAATAATAATTATAATTATAATTATAATAATTATAATTATTATAATTATAACTATAATAATAATAATATTAATATTAATCATCGTTATCCTTGATACTTCACTGTAATCATAATAATTTATATTAGCGCCACTGAAACTGAAAGTATAATTATATTTCCGCCAAAACTAAAAATATAATAACATTTCCCGCCAAAAGTAAAAATATAAATATATTTTCCTCCAAAACTAATGCGATAATTATATTTCCCGCCAAAAGTAAAAATATAAATATATTTTCCGCCATTATTTTTTTCATTTATACTAGCAATAATAGAATCATTGTTGTTGTTGTTGTTGCTGCTGCTGTTGTTGTTGTTGTTGCTGCTGCTGCTGTTGTTGCTGTTGTTGTTGTTGTAATTCGAAACTTCAACTTTGTCTCTAGATGATTGCCGGTCAAAAACACGTTAGGAGTGTGGGTTTCATTTTCATACGAATTTTCATTCTTTAAAGATTTTTATTCAAAGAAGTTAAGTTAGTGGTAGTGGTAGTAGCAGCCACAACAGCGGCATTTGTAGTAGTAGCTGGTTGTAATGATAGTAGTAGTAGTAGCAGTAGTAGTAGTATCTGGTTGTAATGATAGTAGTAGTAGTAGTAGCAGTAGTAGTAGCAACAGCAGTAGCAGTAGTAGTAGTTGGTTGTAATAATAGTAGTAATAGCAGTAGTTGTAGTATTAGTAGTAGTAGTAGTAGCAGTAGTAGTTGGTTTTAATGGTATTAGTAGTAGTAGTAGTTGTAGTAGTAGTGGTAAGAAAGGTTATAGTAATAGTAGTATAGTAATAATAGAAGTATTTTATCTTCTTCAAGTTTCAACACTCATTAACTCAGCACCCGCTAGCTGTCTTTCAATTCATTTTTCCCCTTCAAACTTGAAATGTTTTAGAATTATTTCTTGGTTTAAACTTTTAATAAAATATTTGTTAATGCTAAGTTTTAGTCAAATATTTAATTAATTCATTCATTTATTAATTAATTCATTAATTAATTCATTAATTAATTTATTCATTCATTTAATTTAACTTTTTATTTCCAATTACCTTCTGCACCTATATATCTATCTGGCATTTTCACCATCATCATCCTATGTACATAAATAAATTATTCATATTTTGAGATCAGATTTTGATTGGTTGGCGAGCGCGAGTCTGTCGACCAATCAGATCGTCGCGAATTGAAATATAGAAGTTTAAAACTTTTCCGCCTCCCGTCTCTCACTAACAAATCAACGTCATCATCATTATCATCAACAACAACTTTATAACATCATCATCATCATCATCAACATCATCATCATCATAATCAGTATTAAATCCACAACCGTAAATTATTGAAATTATAAATATCTTGTTTCCCACTTTCCTTTCGGCGATCATCATCATCATAACCACCACAACCTCCACCATCATCATCATAACCACCATCACCACCACCACAAACAGCCTCTGCAAGCAGTAACAGAGGAGAATGATGATGGTGATGATGATGGTGAAATGAGTGTGTTTGTGTTTGGTGATGATGAAAAGAGGTTGGCGAATGAGGCGAATAAAAATGGTGGCTACCTTAGTTTAGGAGCGATTAGCCAACATTTCGGTTCCAATGGCATTGAAAATGTTAGTTTTTTTTTGTTTTTCTTCGTTTTTTTCAAGTTTTTCATTGAAAATTTTATTATTTTTTTAATTTTTCAATCAATTTGTTTTTATATTTATCAATTTTAATCATTAATTTTGCGTTTTGACGCATTTTTTTGCTGTTTTTTTTGTTGCTAATAGTCGAAAATCTTTTGAAATAAGAATTTAAAAAAAAATTTTCTATGCTGTGTAACTTGCACCGTTCTAACGACTGTTATTTATTAGTGAATGAATGAATGAGTGAGTAAATGAATGAATGAATGATTGACTGATTGTTTGGATGAATTAATGAATGATGGCTCTCTTTGATTGATTTGTACAAACACAACCTAAAGTCTATTTTATTCATTTAACCATTCTCTCATCCATTCATTCATCCATTCATTCATCCATTCATTCATTCACTCACTCGATGTAGCTGATGGAATCGAAGCGGAATCAGAACAGGCGACAATCCATCATGACAGGCAAGCCACTGGCCAACAACAACAAGAACAAAAATAACAATAATAACAATAACATGATAAACGCTAAAAACAAGAAGAATAATAATAATAAAAATAACAACAACAACAACAATAATAATAATAATAACAATTTTAAAAGTGACGTCACAGCTCAAACGAGTAGTGCTTGTGTGGTGCAATGAATTGTAATCAACTATAATAATTAAAAAGTTAAAAGTTGTTATAAGTAACTATAGTTAAACTACACACACACACACACACACATTTATTTGTTTAGCTAGTTAGTTATATTTTTAAATCACCATTAAAAACAAGATCTTATTCTGTCACGATTGAGACAAAACTATAGACATTTAATAAACTATTACATAGGAATGACGTCACATTATAATTATTAGTTGTTATTATTATATTATGATATAGATGTGACGTCATTATTGAGTTTTCAGGTTTTTGTTATCATTAAATCGTGTAAAAACTATTACAAAAAACAATCGAAGGAGTTAAATGCAGCTTGAATATTGCTAGTTATCATCGTAACTTTTATAGTTTTTGGTTTTTCAAGTTTATTTCGTTCTTAAAAAAATTTAAAATGAAATACTTTTAAAAGATATACATACATACGCACGTACATACAAACATACATACGCACGTACATACAAACATACATACGCACGTACATACAAACATACATACGCACGTACATACAAACATACATACGCACGTACATACAAACATACATACGCACGTACATACAAACATACATACGCACGTACATACAAACATGCATGCAAACAAATAAAAGTAATTAAATGAATCCTGACGGAAATTAACTGCAAAACTCACAAAAAAGATAATAAAAACAAAATCGCAACGTGCCGGAAATGACAAATAAAGAAATGACGACATCCTGAGAAATTAATAAACAAAACAGTGCGGTGCGTTTTAAAACTTCCTGAATTTTGTGGCGCTTCACTTTTTTAAATTAGCTTCTTGTTCTTCTTTCTCATAAACTTTTAAGCTAAATCCAACAGGATATTTGGTCCTTAAGATGATTACTAATGTTATTTATAATAATTAATTATTTTAATAATTATAAAAATAAAAAGCATACAAAATCCCTAGAAGGGGTTCATCCGGCATGGCCCTCAAAGTTTAAGGAGCCCTTTGAAATGGGGTTGAATGGGTCCGAGGAAAAAAAATTGACGAACTTTTTCTTTTTAACCACACGATTTTATAGAAATGTTGATATGAAACAACATTAATAATAACAATAATAATAACAATAATAATAACAATAATAACAGAACAAGGTGGACACAGGCAGTAGCCTTAGTATTAGAGTATAAAATGACCTTATAATTTTATTCTCCATACAATTTGTTGACGGTGAAGACGAGGATGATAACGACGATAGCGATTATTATTATTATTATTATTCTTATTATTATTCTTCTTCTTCTTATTATTATTATTATTATGAAAATGATGAATAATTACATTTTAATATATTATTTTCATATATTATTCTAATGGTACAACACCATCAAATATTCAAAATTCCATGATTATCGGTTTAGAATTTATGTAATTCAACACGAACAGAAACACAAACACACACACAAACACACACACAAATACAAACACACACACACAAATACACACACCACACACAAACAATGCATGTTGTGATAGATTTGTTTGTGTGAATTAAAGATGTGAGCGGGTATTGAAATTTGTTCCCAATTCTATCCCATTTTTTTCTCATTCCGGATTCTCTCCCGAATTACCATTTACGACAACGTTCCCGAAAATTTCCATTCCTTATTTTTCAATTCCTTTCCGCGTTTTCCCTCCTATTCCGTCCCGTTTCCCATTTTCAAAATTTTTAACACAAAAAGTTTTTTTTAATCCATATTTTGTGAATAAAATGGATTAAAAAAAAATAAATTTTTTAAAAATGCAGATTTACAACGGTATTGACGTTCCCATGCTCACCTTTTGTCTTGAAATCCGCTCTGAACTTCGTAAGTGATAGAGAGGTAGTCAGAGAAGGAGGAAGAGAGTTCCAGAGAAAAGGGCCAGAAAAAGCAAATGCAGATTTAGCAAAAGAGTATTTAACACGAGTTAACAAGAGGTGAGAACAAGAAGATGATCGTAAACCGGGGCATTTAGGTTCAATTAATATATCTGATTAGTACTTATGAAAGAATTTAGATTGAAATTTATACATTAAGTGTAAATTTTAAAAATTATTCTATGTTTAAAAACCGTATATCAGAAAACAGACAATTTTGGAAGAAAATTTAATTTTTCAGAATGAGAAACATGCAAATAGAAGACAAGAACAATGGGCCATTCATTTTTACTCAACAATTCTTAATCGAGTTTTTATTGAATCTCTTGTTTGAATTCCCATGTTCCAAAATTGCAATGATGACAAAAATAAATTTTCAGCTAACACTAACAATCAGCGCTGCTATCATTATCAATAGCATCATCTTCATCATCGTCGTCGTCCTCTCCATCACCACCACCACCAACATCATCACCAGGACTGCTTTCGAGATTTGTTTAATCTTCACTCCTACATACAAATGATTAGATTGAGATTAAGCAGTGATGATGACGACGATGATGGCAGTTTTAGATGGCTATATAAGCCTGAGATTGAATGGACGAGGAAAGACATTCTTTATGTCACTGGCTAAGCATTATTAATAAATTTCGAAATAAATAATAAATTAAAATAACATTATATCATTAACAACGTTGTATTATTTTAACAAAAATAGCATAATTTAAGCTTGATTGAATAAATAAAATAAATTAATTAATTAATTTATAAAACCTGCTTTAGGTTATCGTATTCTTAAATAAATGATAATCAACTAAACTGAAAATTATTAAAACAGTTTTAATAAAATTTACAATGAGTATATTATTAGTAAAGAGATTGGATAATTAGTGTGAATACGTGAATAGTGACTCTGGTTTTGTATATTGAACATTGTTTAAAGCCGACAAGAGCTTATAATTAACTAATGTTCATTTACTGACAACCATGAGGTACTATTTCAATCATCAC